TGTCTAGCTGCCAGATGCTGCTATTATGCTCAATATGAGCTTTGCTGTATGTTTATTTAGTTTTCTTTACTGGTTTTTTATTGTATATTTCCGATTTTTTATTTTCCTTAGTAAATTAGGATCTACGGGAAAGAGTTTTGATACAAACATCATAAGACTTATTTTTTAACATTTAACTAAGCTAAAATTAATACTATTTTTTATTTATTCGCAAAAAAAAATTTTTTTACTTGTTACTACACAAAAAAAAAACTTCTTGTTGCTGTATGTAAAAAATAAAAAATAAAAAATTCTTGTTACAAATCAACTTTTGTGTTTTAGAAAAATTACAAAAAATAGAATATGCTCAAACATTTAAATTTACAAATAAGTAGATCAAGAGAAAACCTTGATATAAACTTTTATAGTTTATTATTTAGTAAACTTAGCCTATAACAATTATTAGTAATTTATTAGTGATAACTGTTTTCTAGTATATTCTGATTATACAATTAATCATAATATTGATATTTTATTTTCTTTTGTACTTGAAGACTGTCATTAAAAATAAATTACTGATAATTTTTAGTTTGAGATTTTCTCTTAGTTGATATATATAGTTATCAAAATATCTAAAAATTAGTTATATATATAATTCAATTATGTAATGCATATTATTTATCAAGAGTTAAGTTTGCTAAATAATAAACTATAGGTTGCATATACTCACCTTAATATTAAAAAAAAAAAAAATACTATAAATGTTCATATTAATGTTTTTTCTTAGTCATATTCAAATAATGTTTGTTATTAATTTTGATGCTTAAACATTATCATAATTATTATTTAATTAATTAATTTGAATACTTGAAAACATTCCAAATAATTCTTATTAATCAATTTTACATATGTCTAATTAAACTTGTAATATGGTTTTTAACTAATTTTTCAATAGTATCATAAGAAATAAATATTGGCTATGATTTGAAAAAGTAAAAATTTATATAATAAAATTCATTATTTCAAGCATTCTACAATCATTTTAAGATTTTTTAAAAAAAATAAAATTGAATAAAATATTATTATTTCTTGTTTAAATATTAATAGCTACATTCATATAGATTTTATTAATTATTAACTAATTGTAATTATGATAACATATTTATATAATTCATTAAATAGTAATGCATCAATTAGTAATGCAAAATTGTAAAATATTGTTGCATGATGTATAAAATAAAGTAATAATAGCTTTTATTAGTTAGAAAAAATAGAGTAATAGTAAGTGCTCTTAGTATGAAAAATAATAAAATACTTTTCTAATATAATAATAAATTTTTTAAAATAAACTTTTTCAATCTAAAATATGCTTTCACCATCTTCTATAATATATAAAAATGGTATTGAACTTTTTTAAATACACAAACATTTGCCAATTCTCAAGGTTATGTATTAATAAAAAAAAATATGTAAAGACAAATATGGCAATTTGAAAAATATAACATTGTGTTATAATTAGGATAGAGTTTATAGTAGCTCAAAAATACATTAAAGACAAACAAGTACTTGGTTAATTAATTGTCTTTTTGAATTATATGCTGTTTGGCATAATAATTTATAACATATAAAAGTCTGTGATAATAGTTATAATTATGACCCTTTAGAAGATTTATCATGTCATCTGATGTCTTATAAATTTACAAAGCAACAATTAGCAAATATTGCAGAAATGACTGCTTCTGGTTTACATTCTTGGAAAATAATATCAATCATTTATCAAAATAATCTAATAGCATTAGTAATAAGTAAAGATGTTTATAATATATGTAAATGACTTTGCCAACAAAATTTGACAGGTTGTACTTCAGTTGAAGCATTAATAGATAAGCTTAGAGAGGGTAATTACATGTATAAATACAAATGTAATGATATAGATTATATTACTTACCTTTTCTTTATATATAATAAATTGGCCATGCTCACTTATTGATATTCTACTGTTTTCTTTATAAATTGCACTTATAAAACTAACAAATATAAAATGCCTTTGCTGAATATTGTTAGTATAACTAGTATTAATGCTACTTTTTTTTCATACTTTATCTTTATAAAAAACAAAGATGAAGAAGATTACCTATGGGCATTAACTTGTATTACTAAATTATTTAATAAAATATTAAAACCTTGTATTATAGTAACAGATAAAAAGTTAGCTTTTATGGATGCACTTATAAAAATAGTTCCAGGTTCAACAAATTTATTATGCCTATAACATATTAATAAAAATATAATAAAAAATTATAAGTCTTAATTTTAAAAAAAATAATAAGTAACAAAATTTTCTTTTAGAATAGAATAATGTTGTTTATTCACAGACAGAAGAAGAATATAATATAAAGTAAAAAGATTTTCTTAATACTTATATAAATAAACTATGCATCATTAGTTATCTTGAAGAAATTTGGATGTCTTAGAAAAAGAAGTTTATAAAAGTATAGACCAATAAATTTCTTCATTTAGGAATAATTGTTACTTCTTAGTTTAAAAATACCTATGCAATATTAAAAACATACTTATATACATCAGCAAATAATTTTTATGATGATTGTATAAAAATTTTCTCAGTGGTAGAAAATCAAAAAAAAGAAATAGATACTATAATTGAATTACAAAAAATCTGTTTTCTAATTTTTGTATATAATAATTCTTTATATATAAATATTAAGGACAAAGTTTCTATTTTTGCTCTTAAAAAGGTGAATAAACAGTATTAAAGTTTAAAATATATTACTATAGAAAATCTCTTACTACTATGTATAAAGATATTTTTAAGCACAATAGGATTACCTTATGCTTATAAAATCCAACTTTTTAAAAATAATCAAGATTTAATACTTTCAGATTTTTATAAGGATTAGTAGATTCAGGTAGCATTTCAAATTAGAAATCAATTAGTTGATTAATTGCAACTAATCAAATAATAATTTTATTAAATAACTAATTAATTGATAATAAGTAACCAATTAGTTGTTTTTAATATATCAACTAATCAATTAGTTAATTAATCAATTAACTAATCATTAATTGATATTAATCAATTAGTTAACAATAATCAATTTTTTAAAAATTTTTTAACCAACTAATTTGATTGCATTTGTTTAGTTTGATTTGAAATACTAAATTTAGAACTACTTATCAATACCACTTGTTGAAATAAACATTTATGAATTACAGCCCTTTTTGCAAACTCTACAAGAAAAATATAAAGAATGACCAGAACACTAACAAGTAGCTGTATAAAAGAAATTAAATAATATAATTAATACTTCATTGATGACTTTGCAAAATTCTCAAATTGTTTATATAAGAAAAAGATCTTTTGGTGCTCTAAAGCACAAAACAAATAATTCAATCAGAAAAGATCTTTCTGGGTTTGAGTTAGTGAACCATAAAGTAAGATGATATACTTACTATAAACAGCCTGGACATTATACTAGCACTTGTCCAAATAGAAATTAATTTCATTTTGTTAATATATATAATTTAGTGAATATATATATTACAGGTGTTATCATAATTCAAATAAGGAAATTTTAACAATAAAAATAATTAATACATAATTATTATTAAACTTCCTTTTTTGAATTATAATAGAATATATTTGTCAACAATTAATTATATAATAGAAATAGGTACATATTTCTGCAGTGCATATTAGAATAGACTAATTTCAAAATAAAATTTACAAATCCAATTCTAGTTCAAACTACTATACTTATAATATCTCAAATTTTAATTTTTGTAGATGCTACAAACTATGTACTATTAATTCTAAAAGTGTTTTATTAGTTTAATATAACCAGATATTTATGAAACTACAAAAATCACTATTATTGGAATAATTATTGGTTCAACAGCTTTTTGCTAACAGTTGATCACTATTTTATTTAAAACATAATTTAATTAACAGACATAAATTTTATGTTGTGCTTTGTAATTATAGAAACATAGTTGAGCAGTTAGTAATTAATAAAATATATAAATAATTATACAAATGTATATAAATGCAAATGTGTATCTTGATCTATTATATTGTTAATAATAATTATATTTATATATACCAAATCACATAAAGTATATACATACATACCTATATAGTATTATATAAAGTTTTATGCATACACAATATGCAAAATTTTTCAGATTGGCACAATACTCTATACATAATATGTAAGATTTTTTATTCTATATAAAATTTAATAAGATCCCTAAAATCCATAGTTTTAGACAAAAGATCTTTTATAAATAATGCTGCCAAGAAAAAATAGCATCTCAGCAATTATAATGTATTACTGAACAATTAAATTATGATCAATTTTTTAGAGGTTTTGTATATAATTAAAAGCTAATCTATATCATTGCTAAACTCGATAATTAATTAGTAATATACTATAATTGTTAAGATGCTCTTTTCTCTATATATAAAATACTATAGAATTTAATCAAGAATTATAAGTAAAGATAACCTATGCATAAATAAATATTGTTAGTTGTACATATTAGTTTCATTGCATAATGATCCTAAAACCTTATTTGCATACTCAAAGCAAGTTATTCAAATAGTTTATATTCTTACAAAATGCTTTGCAATGCCTAATTCAAGTTTCTAATAATGATTTTTTGTTTTCTAATCTAAGTTTATTATATATTAAAATATTGTTTTGCATAGTGCATTTAATAATGCATTTTTTCTTCTAATTTAAAATAACTACAACTAAGATTTAAAGAAGTTTATGGTGTTTTTACAAAATGCATTAATAATGTCTAACCCAATATCATTACAACTAAGATTTAAAGAAATCAGTATAACATTTCAGATCCAATATTTCAGATACAAAAAAAATCAGCATGGTATTTTTTTTTTTTTTTAATATTAAGGTAGGTATATGTGACCCAGAATTTTACTGATAGTAAAAGTTGGCCAGTGCCTGTACATGTACAGATGCAGAGGCAATTACAGAAAGAGTGTACAACTAGCCACTTATACAACTTTAGTCATTGTCTAATTTAAGTAGTTTATTCAAAGGTTCTATACTAGTTGCTATACCTAGAACCCATCTGTAGATCCTCTATTTAAACATTTTGATTCTGCATTTACCACACCCTACCAGCAACTCTAGTAAACTGGTAAAGATATGCCATGGTCACTAAGTTATATTTAACTTTGTACTAAACCTACCAGTATGTTCTGTATCCCATACTTACAGCTCACCCAGTCATGCTTTGGTCTAAACCATCACTTGCAGTCAGGGTTAACTATTAAACTGCTTTTTACTCTTATAAGGTTTACCCAAAACTCCAGTACTCATCTTTTCAACATCCTCTTTATCATCCCCTACTAACCACTACTCAGGGCTAACAGAACTTTTCAGACTTCCAATCCAGATGGTCTGGTATGGTATATCTTAGTATCCTTTTCCTCTAGTGATTCTGGTGGTCTGGTTGATCATATGCTCCTCTACACATCTTGCCATCTGATTTATCTGCCTATCCCTTTAGAGATATTTCATAGGCTTTTATCAGTCTGACAGCACCATTGACAGTTTTGTGCTACCTTCTTACTCAGGATTTCTAAGTGGGTTTTCAACTCTTCAGTTCTTTTGTTTTTTGCACCCAGTGGTCTTATCGTAGGTTTGCATTGAAGTCTTATACAGTACCAGTTATTGACATTCCTCTATATGGGTATAACATTACACTTTAGCATAGATGCTCCAAGCTCCTATTTGAGATAGTGCAACAAAGGTTACAAATACACCAATCCAACTGATTGACAGAGACAGTTATCATAACACAGACCTATTTTCCAAAATTTGTCATCCATGAGATTTGAACTCTAGACCTGCCATTTGGGGGTTGACAACCTGACCACTTCACTAGGTTGCCACACTTCTTACATGGCATTTTTTTAAAGTATATCTCTAACACTTTTTCTATAATCTAAAACTATAATACTTAGATCTAAAAAAGATTAAAATAATGTTTTTATAAAATGCATCTCTTGATCTAATAATTTTACTACTTACTACTTAGATCTAAAAAAAAAACCAGTGCAGTATTCTAGAAAGTGTATCTGCTAATACTTTTCCAATGTTTAATTTAAGTCTATTTTTGTAGATCTAAGAAAATTAGTATGTTCTTATAAAGTGCATTGTTAATGCTTTGTCAAAACTAATGATTTGATTCTTTTTTACCTTCTGTTCAAAGATTAACATATAAATTTTGCAATATGTCTTTACTACTATTTTTAATGCAAACACTAGAATACTAATAAAAAAATTAAATGCTAAAATATTTATATAATATCATATATAATGTTATTATTGCTATACCAAAATTTGATCATATTTGTATAGTTAAGTTTTAAAATTCTTATTAGACAGCGTCATCAATATAATCAACTCTGTCTAATAAGAAATATAAACTTAACTGAACAAATATGAAAATAACAGCTAGATAATAATACTATTATCATATTATTTAATAAAATATCGACACAATGGTATAGGTATATATATCAGTGATCAAATCAAATATTTGTTAAAGATATGTGAACTATATTTTTGACAAATATTTGATTTGTTCACTGTACTAATATTTTTTCACCTATTATATAATACCTTATAATAATTACACATAATATATCATATGAAAATCAACTAAAATAGATATTTACAAGAGTGGGGGTACGAATAGCAAAAATGGAAGGTACAAATAGTATTGCTCTAAAATTATTTTTAAATCTTAATACAATCGACCTTTAACATAATTTAAAACCAATCCAAATGGGTTGATATAAATGAGTGTAGATTGTATTATAATATACATAATTCTAAAAGTATAGTTTAAAATAACAGTTATTAAATTTAATATTATTAATAAGCTTTTTGATTTATTTTATAAAATATGATGTATCAAAAGTGATGATATAACCTATATATACATATTTTATAGTTGTCCAGAGCATAGCGAAAGACACTCAATTTTTATGCAAAGTGATACAAAAGTTACGTTTTTGATGCATCAAAAGTATCATTATTGATGCATTTATAATAAAATATCAAAACGTAACTTTGCATATTTGTGTAACACAACAAATCCTACGTGATTTTCGCTCCGGACTTATAACTACCCAGTATCGGCATAAAATTCTACTATCATGTGACTATAGACGGCAAATTGACCAATAGTGAGCCATGATTTGGTGTACCGTAGCACGATCAGGAAAATTCAAAACAAACGTTAAAAGATCATTTCTCAAAAATTTGAATAAGAAAACACCTTTAGTATCTAGCCTTATTAGAAATGCTAACCCTAAACTAAATGAACTTTAAAGAATTTTTCGGTCATCACGTGATAGTAGAATTTTTATGGCGATGCTGGGGAAGATCCCTTCATAATGTAGTTTATTTGTATTCAATGACTCTTAAATTACTAAAGCTCCTATTGGTTGGAATCCGATTGTTTTTTAATTTTTACGTTACACCTGATTTTATCCAACTAGAAATTCGACCTCAAACATTTTGTAATTATTACATTACCCATCCCCAGAAAAATGTCTACCGCTACGTATTTAACATTGTCGCCTCTGACGAATGGTCATACAAGGGTTTTGTCCGCTACGCGCTTAAGTCTGGCCTATCTAATAAAATACGTGTCTATAATTTCAAATATAAGAAATGTTTGGGCGAAATTGAACAAAAGCATCACTAAAGGAATCGTTTAAGGTTAGTGTCGGTATATTTTCAGAGTCAAGTGAATACTAGATGAGGTATTCTGCGTGTTACTCTGGATTTCCTTGACTGAGTCAAGTCAATACTAGACGGGGTATTCTGCGTGCTACTCTGGGTTTCCTTGGCGTGTTGCAACACAACTTGACTGAGTCAAGTCAATACTAGACGGGGTATTCTGCGTGCTATCCTGGGTTTCCTTGGCGTGTTGCAACACAACTTGACTGAGTCAAGTCAATACTAGACGGGGTATTCTGCGTGCTACCCTGGGTTTCCTTGGCGTGTTGCAACACAACTTGACTGAGTCAAGTCAATACTAGACGGGGTGCTCTTAATTTTTTTATTTTACATTTAATTAATTGCACCATTTTTTGCCTTTCAAGTTTGACTCAATAATGGAAAAAGATCAGTTAACTAAGCTTATTATGCTGAAAGAAAATGAGAGAGGTTGAAGAGGTGAGTTCAATATTATAACATTAACTTACTGATCTTTCTCTTATGCTAATTATATGAACTTAATTATGCAGTACGAGTACCAAAATACATTAAATGCGCTCGTGAGAGAGAAGAAAACCTTTTCCAGTCAGCAACTAGAATCACAGAAACGGAAATGCGTAAATATTGGTTTCATTTTTACATGTGCTATTTTTTACACAGTTAAATTCATTCGGGGGGTTTTTTTTTTCTTTTAGGATTTGGCTTTCTCGAAAAATAATAATCCACAAAAAAGGAACATGTAATCAAAGTAGTCGAGAAGAATCCAGTTTTAATACCTAAACTAAGAAAGATTCTGGGTCAAGTGAAGGTGACGAGTCTCCTTGTGAAATAGCGAAGAGGAATCAAATAAATCGAACAATGATTACAGTTATAAAGGAATATTGCAAAAAAAATTCGACATCTAAGTATGAGTAGGTTTATCCTGACTAGAGGTTTTTTCTTCGATCAAATGACATTTTTTACACTGATATGCCAATTTAGTCCTGCACATAGTTATATTCTTGATCTCTCCCCAACTTCAAAAATTGCAAGAGAATTTGCACCAAGTTATTGGTCCGGACTCATTTCCGATCGTCCTAATGTAATTAATGTGGAGTATCATGGTGAATTAAAACCAATTCACGATCAGTTGTTTGAACAAAAAGTATATATCATTTTTATAATTTTTATAACTTGAGTCTTTATTGATAGGTCTCTAAAAGAATGTTTGTATTTTAACTGATAGAGACTAAATATTCAACAAGCTCGTGCTCTATGGGAAGGTTTAAGGAATATTAAGGCTCCTGAATATGACGAAGGATTCTCGTATAATAAAGATGACTGGAAAAAAATTATATGGTGGATAGAATGGGCTGTAGGTCGATTTTAAGTTGCAATAATTTTGTATTTCTTTTTTCTAAGGTGTCGTATAGTTTATAATGATATCTTTTTATATGGTCTTGATGCATATGAATCGGAACGGAACTCATTAATACAACAAGATTGTGATGAGAGAATGGTTGGAAGGTTACCTGATTCCAATTTTTCAAGGTGCTTTGGCACTTGATGGTCGTTTCGAATCGCGTGGTATGTTATTACAATTTTGTAATTTGTATTTACAATTTTGTAATTTGTATTTACAATTGTTTAAAGATAATAACTTTTTAATTACTTTGCACAAAAGGGGAGAAGTTACAGTGCAAGCTTCCTTGCAAAGACGGAATTCTGACAAAAATGTTTTAGAAGAATTTGTAGATCGTGGCCATATGGCAGATATGTTATGCTCTACCAATTCATACGAAATGCTTCGTTTATTGGCCTGTGGTGGTCCACACAAAGATGATCTCACCAAAGAAGCTTCTGATCAATTTCAATTACAACAGTTGCTAAAAGACACCCTTGATGATATGCTTATGAAATATTACAATAATGTCAAAAAAGATGAAACGTGTTTGTATACAATAGGGGTTCAAGTGAGTAAATTTAGTACTTTAAACTATACAGTATTGGTAACAAAATTTATATTCAATAAATATTACTTTTGATAGCAATACAAGACAGAAGTTCGTATTTATTTAATGGAAAGACGTGCAGTTTATCATTTTCACCTTATCAAAACGTTGTATTTTCTTTATCATTTCAACTTATCATATTTTGCGTATTAGTTTTATTTGGGCCTGGAATATTCGGGTTTGTATAACAAATATTTATGGCTTGCAGTCCTCATTAGTAGGTTAATAATAAATTCTCATGATTGATTTGTAGGGACTGTTAAATGATTTTATTAGAGAAGCTGATCAAATAATATGGAAACATGTTCAGTCACTCCTCAATGGATTCCCAATGATATGGCGACGCAAGAACTCCTAAAAAAAATTAAAAGCAAACTATAGCAAGAAATACAGTAGTGAATCAGATGCGAAAAAACGACCTGCTGAAGAAATCAATAATAGATTGGGAAGAAATATATCGATTTTGTCATTATCATGAGTTACATTCTAAAACTTTGTAATTATGTCATTTTAGTATATAATAAAACATTTACTTGTTTCTCAAACACATGAGTCCTTCGATTCCACACAAATTATCCCATATTTTTTTCTAACGATAAAATTCGACCTGTGATAAAAGGGAATTGGTATATTTGCCCTTGTTTAAAGAACAAATAAACGATAACAGTGAAAATAATTTAAATCAAGTATAAGTTGTCGCGAATCAGATATTAATAAAGTATTTTCAAACTTATTAAATCCATTTAATACTATTTATTGGTGGAAGAAAATTCTTAAATGAATCGAAACAAGCCTTACCATCAGATACAGAAGTTTGAACGATGTGTAAGTACTCAATATTCGTTATTTGTGACGAAGTAATTTTTCAGTTCCAGTAAAAGAAATATTAATGAATGTTAAAGCTAAAGTTCTCTATTTTGGGTCTATATGTGTGTACATAATGCGTTGACTGTCATGAGTTTCCTAACATACGTATATATATGCATACATAATAAACGTTGTGGTTATTGGACTAGCGATTTTCCAAAATCAATAATTGTCGGCATAAGCGATTCATCATGCAACCTTCGAATATGGGATTTATAGAATTTAACTTGTTAAGTGGAATTCCATTTCTGGATAAGACGTTTGATTATGTTCATATATCAACTATGTGGGCGTGAATAAGTCTAGGTTTGTATCGAACGTAGTAACCAATTTTTATCCCTGTTACCTTTCTTTTAATCAGTTCACTGTCCATAGCATATAGTAATTTGGTATGATACTACTGTACTTGCGAATTGAAGTCATTCGGTAAATTTTTGTTAGTGAAAACGTTACATCCCTAAAGTACTTTAAACCATACAAACAAGGTATGTGTTGTTGACGTTGCAGGAAGTTGAAACCTGTTTAAAAGTATGATATGTACTATTTTAATAATTTGTAATTTTCAAATCATATTAAACTATCTTATCTAGGATTTAGTAGAAATTAATTGATGACAATTATCATAGAGCAGTACCCGGGATATAAATCAAAAACGTCTCAATTAATTTGATTTGCACTTGGAGAATACTAAATGAAGAGGAGGGTACAATTCAGAGGGGATCTTTTGAATCGATCTTTAGACAGATTTACATTTTTATTGAACATGACTAGTCCTACAAGTTTAGAATTTTCGCGTGATGGTATTGACATCTACCTCGTCAGGTAAGAATGAATGCAGTGTTCTACAGTAGTTATTTAAGGTTTTCTGATCAGAGTAACCAATCAAGATAATGATAATAATAAAGTAGTTGATAATGGTCTAAAAATTCTGAGCTCACAAATTTCGAAAATACGTAAAAAATATAGATAGAATCTAAATAAACATACCATGTAATTTCGTACTCAATTATGCATGATAAAGTGGATTAAGATTTCTTATATGCTTGATTAGACATTCGATCTTAGTGAATTTAAATAGTGGCAAAAATACCGAGTTCTACATTAAATTCTCAAATAGAGTGATTACTCTAAGAATTCCCGATAAGTAATTGCTAGGCAAATAGCTTAACAGGTAATCTAGAATAATAATCGAATTGTTGCAACCCCAATTATTCGAACCAAGTCTTTCATATTTCTATTGAAGCCATCAATTATCAAGGTTTGTTTTAATAATTCCGGAGGTAGAGATATTGGGTTCCGTATAGGTTAAAATAAGATAAAAAGTTATTTACAGATTTCAAATTAGTTATTTAGTGGTGTATGATGCTTATTACAGTATTATAAATTTAGCAGGACTTGATTTATTGGTATATGACATATTATACATTTAATAAATTCAGAAATTTAGGTTTTAAACGCAGCACTTATTTACAAGATACATTTGATATACGATTTTATGTCGATATAATTTTACGCAATAAAATTAGATAAATGAATGAATTCAGCGTGTGTTCCATCTTTTAATTAATAATCCGGTCATATCAACTTTAAAGAATCTTTATAAGTAAATGTAACTTTTAAAAATTAAGATTATTTCTTATAGCCATTTTGAAAATTAAGGCATAAGGAGAATTAATTACTTATCTATTATGCAAGAGAACAATACTTTATGTCACTAATTATGATATAACTACATCGTATTAACATATAGATAATTATATAATAGTTATAAATTTACACTATAAATTAATAGATCTACTAAGCAACTCTAATATGAAGCAGTATTGATTGTTAGTCCGGATTTGTATTAGTGCCGGACCATTATACCCTTTCTTAAAGTGCATATATATGTACGTACATACTTATTTGCTACACTTAATTAATCCTCTTGGGTTAAAAAGGATCTCAGGATTTAATCGAAAAAAAATTTAATAACCGTTATATAATAAGTTTGCGCTTATTATGAATTTGGTAACGTTTATCTTTATAGAAATTTATATGTTTTTTAAGCTTTCGTTTACAATTAATTCGTACCAATTACAAAGCAAACTACATACTTTAATTAAACTTATCGACCTTTAAATAATTATTTTTATTTATTAAAAAAATTTTTTATTGATTTTTTATTATAAAAAGAAGACTTCATAAAAAACTTTTTATTGCATAATATATTTATTATAAAAAACTTTTCTATTACATAATATATTTAAAACTTTTCTATTATATAATATACTTATTATAAAAATAAAACTATTTTATTACATAATATATTTAACTATAAAAAAAAAACTTTTTTATTTCATAAATAAACTTTCGAAAATAAATCTTGTTTCGTTCGATTTTCGATAATAAATCTTGCTTCATCCGAATTTCTTTTAATTAACACCAAATAATCGACGAACGAATATAAATTATCTACCTAGTGTGAAAGAAGAAAAGTAAGTACATGAAGTGACCTAGATACCTCAAAATATAGCATGTCAACGACCACCAGTAGTGGTGTAACCTAGAGCCTAGGAGCGATATCCGAGGGTTTTAATATAAAATGGGTTCAATTAACTTAACGAGCTTAAAATTAATACTCATCTGTTAACCGAAAGAAATAAATGTTAAAAGTGTAAAAGAAAAAGAAATATAAAGAAAAAGATATAAGTGAAAGGTATAAAGAAAGAGGAAGAGAAAAGACAGTTCTTATATATATTTTTTTTGCTAATATGTCCATTGTTTTGATATCCTCAAAACGCGTAATCAATTTCGTGTTTTGTGTTGATAGAAATCTGTTATCAAGCAAAATCAGTGATGTCATACAGGGGTGTTATCTTTTTGGTTTCTCAAATCGCGTGTAACGCGAAGTTTTTCAAAAAATCGCGTGTAACGTAAGATCACGTGTAACGCGGTTTTTCCAAAATTACGTAACGCGAAGTTTTTCCAAAATTACGTGTAACGCGAAGTTTTTTCGAAAAATCGCGTATATTTCAAAAAAAATTGAAATTACTTTTTATGCTATAATAAAAAGTGTTCCTCGCAGAATTTTACTACCTCGGAACATATTGCCACAACAAGAACAATTTGATACAACTAGTATATAAATACCCACGTAGTCTAATGTAATTATCCGAGAAACCGTTATTGGAAAAACGGCTTTTAGAAATCATATGCAATTACGTAATACTTGATACGGACCAGAAATTGATACGAATTAAATGAATACAGAAATTTATTTAAAAAACAAAATGTCTTTATTTATTAAGAAATTACTATATTGTATATTGTATATGTAATTACACAAGTAATCTTTAAAGCATATAGATTAACTCTTTCCTCATATTAATATCTAACTAAATTCACACTACTTATTATCAATTACAACTATTTGTGTGTATAAATGAATTATAATCAGTCGTATCTATTAAATAATCTATATATTTCCAAAAAAAAGTCTATTAATAAAAAATATATATGTATATTACAAAAAAAAAACCTCCCAAAAGAAAAATTCTATACCGCATCCAAACTTTATTTAAATAATTCCTACAGAAAACATTATGCCATCTCCATAGCTGCAACAGTTCCATAATCATCATTTTGTTTTTGATTATGATAATGCTTACGAAATTCATCAATCCAAAATACTGATGTTATAACTATAAGTCCAAAAATATCATCAAGTCCTAATGCTTCGGTTTGAAATACAGCTTGGAAAATGGTAAATAAATTACTAATAATTGTCCAACAAGTGAAAATGCTACTGCTAAATTAAACATTGGATTTGAAAATATTCCTAATTTAAAAATGGATTTCTTTTCTGAACGACAACTTAAAGCATTAAACATATCAAAAAATACAAAGCATGTAAATGTCTAGATAAAATCGATTATCGATTAACATGTTAATAATGAAAATGTAAATAAAACCTCAATGCTATAAATACAAAATATAAAACTTGAATATCTTACCATCGTTGTGTCCCTTGCTGTAACGATACCGTCTCGCATTTCAGTAATATAGGTTATTAAACAATGTAGCTGTCCTAATGTCATTGTTATTCAACAATGTGACTGTCTCAATGTCATTACGTTAATCATCATAATAAAAGGTGCTGCAAGTACAGTATGAGATTATAATCGAGTCATTCATTTTATAAAAAATTATCAAGAAAATTGCAATATCTATATATTGACATAATCATGTACACGTTCGTTATATAAAACTAGACAATTGACAAAACCTAAGCAAAAAATATTCTATATAAGGCAATATAAAGTTGTTTTTTCGTTTTGTATAACTCGACCAACAATGTTTCAACAAATATATATATATATATATGTTTTTTAAGTGTCAATTGTTCTATTTTTGCCATTTACTTTTTTTCGTCATTTTTATCCGACCATCCATGTAATGCAAAACGAAAAATTATTGTGTGGCCTAATATATAAATAAATAAATAAACATTTTCCAACAAAGGTGCTTTGCCTTTGGCAGCTCGCAACGTTTCTTTTTATGATAGGTCAAAAAGACTTTTGAATAGTCTTTTAATTGTTTTATCTGTTCATCAATTTCAATAAATCTAAAATAAAAAGTTTTATAAAAATAATAATCAAATCCTTTAGTATAAAATAAGTAAATATAGGTTATTTACCTTCAGCTGTAAAGGTGTATTTTTGGGTTACGTATCTTTTATCTAATTAAAATTATAAAACAAAAATCTGCTATAACTCATTTTCGGAAAAATTATATATGATAGAATATTAAATCTTACCAATATTAGTGGTATTAATTTCTTCTTTAGGAGCATGCAATTCCTTACATATTGAATCATCAATTTCAATGCTGCCATCGTCTTTTTGTTTAGGTACAATTTCTCCATGTTTATCGGGAGAAGCCGACTCTTGAACAACAACAATTGCAGCTTCTTTCTTATGATCTTTTTCAACCTTTTTAGTAATGTTTTCAATGATATATTTATCAGTGCAATCTAATAATTCTTTTTCAGCATCAGCATCTCCAATTTGATCAGAAAGGTATTTACGAGCTTTATCATGTTTATCTTCCCATTGTTTTTTATGATGTGGTGCGGCAATATTAAGGTAGCTAGTAGCAAGTGCTGTCTTCCACCATGGTTCTGATTTTGGAGATCTAAGTTTTGGATTTTGTGTGCATTTTTTCACTTCAGTTACTACATTGGTAACTGGAACATCTATTTCTTTACAAATTGTTTTGCTAACTTCAAAAGATCCATCATTATTTTGATTAGACACTATGTCATCACATTTTTCTGGTGTGATAGACTCTTGCACCGTAGCGACTGCATTTCTCTTTTTATCTTTAATCACCTTCTTAATACAATTATCGACTACATAATCATTCGCACAGTCTAAAAGTTCTTTTTCGGCATCTTCATCTCCTATTTGGTCTGAGAGATATTTACGGGCTTTATCATGTTTATCTTTCCATATACCTTCATGTTTAGGTGCAGCTTTTTTAAGGTATGATAGGTTAATAGCAGTTGAAAGAATTGATGGAAGATTGGGTAATTGAAGCTTCTTATTTGTAAGTTTTGGTTGAATTGTTGTGATAATTTCTTCCTTAGGTGCATCTAGTTCGTCACAAACTATATCGCTTAATTCAATACAACCATCATCTTTTTGATCCGCAACGATTTCTTCACATTTTTCGGGAGAGGCTGATTCCTCAACAATTATAAGTGCTTCCGCTTTCTCATGATCATCAGGTTCTTTATCTTTCTTAAATGGAAGGATACTCTCAATTTTTTCTCCAAGTTTAACAGCTCCATTATAAAGACCGCCGATAAAGCTTTTAGCTTTAGTTTTCGGATGTTCTTTCGGTATTTCATCTTTATTTTGATCAATTATTTCTCGTTTATTTTCCTCAATTACTCTATATGTAGTTTTATCAATTACATATTCATCAGCACAATCCAATAATTCTTTTTCAGCATCGGCATCACCAATTTGTTTAGAAAGATAGTCACGGGCTTTATTATATTTATCTTCCCATTCATCTTTATATTTATCCGCTGCATTTTTTAGATATGAAAGGTTAATAGCAGTTGCAAGACTTGATGAAAGGTCAGGCGATTGAAGCTTCTTATTAGTAATTTTCTTTTTAATTGTAGTAATAATTTCTTCTTTAGGAACATGCAATTCCTT